AATTACCCCTGGGCGTCACATGTCTTTTCCCGTTAATCAGGTCCAGACCGAGAACATGTCATGAGAATGGCGGATTACAGCAGCGGCGACCGAGCCCGGAGGGGTTACGGCGACATTGCAACAGATTGTGGTCCGGAATTTTTCAACATTAAATAGCTCTTGCCATCAAATGAAAGCTGCAATGTGTCACCCAGGAAATGTATATCTTTAGTTTGTTCATTTCATAAAAGTCCAACATATTTCTTTAAACTTTTGAACTCATTGAAGTTACATTTCCACTTCCCTTGCACTTTTGAAAATTAATGGGCATTAAACTCTTTCCAGCTTTCCTTAAAATGGCGTAAAAAGTATTGTCAGAATTGCTTGTTTAGCATATCACAATATTTTACATTTCAAATCATTTCTGTAAATAAGTTTATATATGTGGTGATGGCATTGAAAGATCAACAATTCTCTGTACCAAATTTCTTCAAGAAAGACTCTTACTCCTTGACAAATGTTCAAGTGTTTGAATTGGAGTTGGTTCATGCAGCAGTATAGAATTTGTTCATTGATCTTCATTACTCCTATGCGTTCAACACATTCCAACTTTTAGCAAGCTTTTTACCAAAAGTAATTTCGCAATTTGGAAACCCTATGAGCTGTCCCAACTGGAACAATTAGAGTCTTTCTTCTTTTGCGTCCCTGACATTTAATGTATGCACAGTTAAGCCATTCTCAAATGAACAATAAGAAATTTCAGATATATTACTCTCTAAAAGCTAGATTTAATTGTTTCGTTAACACTCACGTTCTCTTCCTTGTGTCCCTTATTTAAATAATAGAAGATATATTTTAATAGAACTATAGAGATCTTCATGTATTGTGGCTCACTGTCGTCTTAAGGATGTATCTAAATGATATCTCACCTGGCATTTTATAAAAGCAGCTATGAATTATTGGTGTCATGCCTTTGCAGCATCTGTATGTGCTCTCGAAAGTCTCTCCTTAAAAATTCACCAACATTGATTTCATTTGACTTGGAAGTTTTTATTTTAATCTTAAGATTATGAAAGGAGGTATAGCGAAACATAGGACTCTTCACACACATTGTCTCTCTTTCCTTTTTACTTGCAATGTCTTTGTTTGCACTTTCTTCTTTATTCATGAGATTTTGGTATTTCCTGCAAGATAGCTTTTATATCACTGCTCTCTCGCGAAGTAAAAACATTCTATCTTCTTCCACATGTAATGAGTTTGTAAACATTTGAAGTACAATATCAATAAAGATTGTCAAATGATGTTTCTAAACCTTTTCACTATGCTTAAAAACGTATTTTTCGATTTGTTTTGCGGTTGTTTTTTCTGTGATTTTTTCGCACGGTGATCTACAAATTAATTAAGTTTTGGTGAATAATGATTATTGTGGGAATTCTTTTTTCTCCCAGAAATATCATTTCACTTCTTACCTACGAAGTTTAGGACTTGACACATTAATTTTACTTCCTGTAATGTTATAAAAATAAAACCTTCAAAAATTGTTTATTTGATGATTAGATTGTGATCTGGTAATTTGGCGTTTTTATATTATTAATAATGTTATCGTCCTATTAAAAAACACATGTTCACACCTCACTGTCCATATTACCACTAACAGATATACCATGTTAGATTAGCGACCTGTGAACATGTATGACACAACAATGAAATTCATGTACTGTCTTTGGCTCAGATCTGACTGCAGCAGTGGATGGTAGCGTCTAAGACTTTTCTGTCACCCTGAGTTTGCACTGCAAGTCAGCAATGGTTAGAATGTCTGATCTCAACAAAATGTTGTACAGACATGTGTTTAAGGTCATTTACAACATTGCAGGGTGAGCTTTCACCATTTCAAGACAGAAATAAGACACTAATACGGCACCATGTATACTCAATCAAAAGTCTTCTGCATACATATTCCATGCCCTTGGGATATGTGCATACAGAACCTTTATACTAGAGAGGAACATACAGCCACATATATCATATTTTTCTTCATAATGTCCTATGAATTTTTTAGTTGTCAGCTTATTTTAGGTGGTGTGGTCAGGGGTGGGGTTGGAATTCAAATACTTTTATTTACAGTATAGATAGAATTCTAGGTTTAATTTTTAGTTCAGATTTATTTAGACAGGCATCTAATTAAGAACACATTGAAACCAAAAGCACTAAATCAGACACCATAATTTAGATTGAAGAATTTTCATTCCAATGTTCTCTTAATTTTGGGTTTTTAGCATTCAAACATTTCAAGGGACAAATTTTCTTCTCATGAGTCTTTCTGTTTTCCACTTCTCCTGCATGGAAACCCTCTTTATATTTAGAATTTCAAAGGTGATTTATAAAGTTGAAAGCTATGAATGACTGTACTGAAAAGTCTATTGAATGAATGCAAGATTTTCATGGAATACTGAAGTATACGAGGGGCGAAAGCAATTTCTGTTGTGTTGTTCAAGAACATCATTCACTGTACCAATAACGAAAGAAAGAAACACTGAAAAAAAGTACACATAAGAAAAGTTAAAACCATAACACAGCCTAAAGTGTAAAAATAAATTAAATAGTAATATAAAATTATATATTAAACATGTATCAGTAGTTTTTCCCAGACTTAATACAAAACAAATGATCCCTAACATTCAAATTTCATGCTGAAGTTGGCATGGGTTAATATTAGCCTCTTGAGATGATATTTTATATTTAAGTAAATTAGACCCAGTGGAAAATATTTAGCAGATGAGCCAAAAAAAAAATGCTTTTTACACACTAAGGGACGCCTTAGTGTGTATGTCTGTTTTATTTCATCGCCTTAGTGTGTATGTCTGATTATTCCTTTCATGACCAATTGGCTATTGAGAATCCGCACATGTCTCAAATACAAAAATAATTATTAGTATTACACTTACTTGTTGCCGATACCAATTAGAACTTCTACACTGGCCAGTAACTCCCATGCAGAAACATGCAATGCATCCATCAGGATTTGATGCATCTAGATGGAAAGTGTTGTTAGTACACTGATTGCACCTGGCTCCAGTTGCATATTCCTGTAACAGCAAACAATTTCTCTTGCAGAAAACTGTCTTTAAAATACTGAATATGCAGAAAAATGCTTAAGTTAAAAAAAGAATTCAGAAGGAGCAGGGAAAGGAGATGAAAAAGGAGACAAAAACAGAGAACAAAAAGAAGATGGAGAGGAAGGAGAAGGAGAAGACGGAACAAACTTTATTTCCATCCACATTCCAGTAAACAGTAAAACAAAACAAAAAAGGAACCTCCTAATTAGCAGCACTGAAGTAACATCACCTGATGCCCAGAGTAACCTAAGCTGGTATATGTCTTTTTTTTTTCCCTTCAACTAGTTTATGTCTTCTGCCTCCACAAACCTCCAGTTTTATTTTCACATTTTTCTTTTTCTCCCAATGCTTCTTTAAGTGCTTCATGAGAGTAAAAGTGAGAGTGAAATTTTTCTGAAAGTTGATATTCATCTGCAGCCATATTCATCCCATAACATTATATGCTATTCTTTTTCCATCATAACCTTATAATCACCTAAAATCATCACTTCTTACTTCCGACTGAATCCCGCTGCAAAGTCATAGTCTCTAAAAACATGCCTTTTCCCGCAACATGTGGATTGTCTGTTGAAGCATACAGGGAGCCTCCAAGCTACTTGATCCACTCATTGGTTCCTGAGGTTCAGGAAAGGATTTTAGGTATGGATGTCATACAGGTACAAACAGTGGTCAGGCACTCTTTCCTAGGTAGGAGAAACCAGGCTAAATGCTACATTCCCAACCTGTCCATAAGGGCATTACTTCATCCCTACACCAATAAAGAATATCCTTTTCTGAAAAATCCCTGTAAATGGGTTAGGTGCTAATACTGTTTGCATGGTTAAAGTAATGCACCACTTCTTTACATCTTCTTAACTTTGATCCCATTAACATAATAATGTGGTGCCATTAGAAGCCAAAGAAAAAATTATTTAAAAGAAAATTTATTTGCACAAGCTTTGGGTAAAAAATTGTATAATCTCCTTTCAAAGTCAGTCAATCAAAGAAATTATGATTTATTATCACTCCCCAAAACTAATGAATGAAGCAAAGTAAGTCATTGTAACTCACCGTGTTCTTGCAATCAAGATAGCATGAAAAAGCATTACATTCCAATTTTTAACATATACACATCATATGACATTGACCATTACAAATTCAACAAAATAGTACTGAAGATATTTCTTATAATTAATTTTGTAAATCAATAGAGTAAGGATGATGATTTCTTTAAACTTTTTCATCCTTATCATCCACAGTAACAGACTATGGAGGGGAAAATCCAAAGGTGTCTATGGACAGATACCTGAGAATAAGGTTAAAAGAATATGCCATCTCAAGAAGGCATTAAGTATGGAAGAGTTAACACACTTTCAGTCCTACTAGTTTTCATGCAATATTTTATAGTGAAGCTATTTTACAGAGAAAATCATTAATGAAGGTGAATGTGACATTATTTAATTAAGTCAATGGATAATTTATATATTCAATGGATCTCCAGGCTACTGGACGAGTATGAGACAGGAAAACCTGAAAGACCACCGAACTTGTGCAATTTCATATTGCCTCAAACTTTTAACTCACATTTAAACATGTTGAACTTAGTTAAGAAAAAATGTTTTTCACAAACTTGGAAAGCATACTATATTTCCAAATTAAAATTTCTACTGGATTGAAGAATTGAGGAAATCTTATCAACTGGGTATAACCTACACCTGAGGTAAATTCATTTGAAGACTTCACAACTGTGGCTGACTTTGTTCATGATCTTGGAAATATAGCCAGATATTTAGATTCCCTAATACAAACAATTACCAAACATTTCCATTTAATTTTCTGATTTTTGATATCAAATTCTTACAGAAAACAAGTTGGAAAGAATAAAACTTCTTATATAGTTCTAACAAGATATTGAAGAAGAGTGAGCTTATTAACGCCAATTAGGGTGAAATACTTTTGCTGGATACTATCTAATATTCTAAGACAGGATGTATGTGGTTCATATTGAAACATCATTATTTCCAAATAAATGAATTTTTAACAAAACACAAAAAATGAAATAGCCAATTCAATATAGTGGACATTATATAACAATCTACTGCAAAAATTTGAATTTGAGTTTAAAAAGGTTTTGAGGTTGCTGATTATGTGCCTGAAGTAAAACAAGGAAAATTCACAATGCAAATCCAATATGGCTAAAATTGTGTAACAACTTTCTTTAAATTTGAGTTTATTTTTTTCTCTCGTTTGGTACTAATAGGGTCTTGGAGTTGCTGATTATGAAACAAATGTCTAAATTACAAAGCACATAATAGCAAACAGTGAAAATGGTTCAGCTAATGTTTATAAATAGCTGGAAATTAACTCAAAACAATAATTTTTTTATTGACATTTTATTAGTGCTTAGATAAATAGGAAAAATTATCATAGTAATTTCCTCAGATTAGTTTATAAAACATTAATAGTGAACTCATTGGTAGTTAAGTAGGCAAAACTTCTAAAACATTTTAAATTGTAATAACAGAAACTGAATAGTGAATTACTTCCTATAATGTAACAAGATGGTAATTAGGGAAAGAAACGCTGATATTTATATTTTAGGAACAAAGACTTAAACACAATATCCCCCTACAAATTTTAGGTATTCACAAAGCAAATGAAATGGTTATTCAATACTTATTCAATGACTGATGTACAAATAAATATCACAAAAGCATAAAGAACAAAATAATGTTTTTGTACAATCCTTTTGGCAAGTGAGCTCTTTGCTGTTAGGGAAATCTGTAAAGTAATAACTTATTTGAATTGTAAATATAATAAAGAACTACATTTCGTGAAAAAATTAACAAATAATTTAGTCAGAAAATAATAAAGTTTTGTTCTAGTAAAATAATTTTTGAATTCTTCTTCACCATTTGCCAAATTGCAACCAGCTTTTCGGTATGTATTGTAGCATTGATTGAAAATTTGGTCCAGACATTTTTTGGTGTGCAAAATTTATCACATCTACTTGCCTACTTGGGTTTTTCATATTTGACTTCAAATTCATTATCAGCCACAGTGAAAGCTTTTTTAAACTCAAATTCACATCAAGATTTGGGATTCTGCATAAGATAGTTACACAATTCCTACCAGACTGAATGTCCACATTATTTAGACCTATAATTTCTAGTAATGAATTTCACAAGCATAAATGAAATAAAAGTTTGTTACCAAGGTCTTACCTTGCAGCGGCATCTTCCAGATGAATCAGGACGTGGCTGCAAGCTCCCAGCAGGGTCACATTCAGCAGCTTCAAAAGATTAATTGAAAACACTTTGCTTCAGTAAATATCAATATATCCTTATACAATTAGTTGTGTCAAGTTCAATCAATCAGTCATTTGAATTAGATGTATCTATGTTTTCCAAATAACTGAATTCTATTTGCCAAAATTGTTTTCGCTAACTAATTTTATTTTAAATTCATATTAACTAGTTCTAACTTATGCTACCCATAATTTGTTTATGTTTTGTTCACCCTTATTACCTATGAAGTGTACATTTCATAGTTGAAAATGTGAAATATGGCTTAACATAGGAAACCTGAGCTAAATTCACACGTTTGCCAGCGACAATTGTGGATAGAACTGTTTGGAATGATGATGAATGAAATCATTTCACACTTCATCTGGCTAATGTGGGTATAGGACTGTGCTATACTAATGGGCGGTATTAGCCTCACAATGCTGATTAAGGAAAGGTGGTTATCTAAGTGTGAGGAGTCTTGTGTGTTACCAAGACGTATTTTGGTGTAAAAATGCCTGGGAAATTATATTTTGCACAGCCTACAGGTTGTTGTATAAATATTGAGATGACTGGAAAATTACAGCTGACTGTGGAACTCAAAACTACACCCTTTGTCTTGCATTAGCCTTAGAAACTTCCCATCAGTAGTTTGATCCTTGTCTATCATGCATCTGATAGTCTTCCTCACCCTAATGTAGCTACTATACCCTACCACAACTTTGTGTTGCTGTTGTCAACTTTATTCAGCTACAGTAAGTACAAAGTATGCTTCAAAGCTACAGACTTTATCCACTCATTTTAGATATGTGAACATTAAGTGGTTAATTTGAGAATTAGCCAAATCCTGTCTTTAGCCATAACATACACTCTAGAGCACAAAACAAACCCAGAATATCTGATATTTTATTACTTACTATTTATTACTATTTATGAACAAAGAACAAATAATATATAAATTAAATATATACAATTGCAATACCATGAAAATTTGAGGAATATATTATCTAAAAAATTTCAAACCTACTAATTTAATAATTTCATCTTCACCCTTTTTTTCTTTTTCCCTTTATTATTTCACAAAAGAATTTGATTACTTATTAAACTAATGCTAAATCAATTGTCCTTAAAAAGGTAAGTATTATTATTAAAAATTAAGTGAAAAGGAAATTAAAAATATGATCTACAGATTTGTAACCATGTGAATTCTTACCAGGTCTGCATGGCTGGCTTGCTATAGGATTACCCTCATAACCTACATCACAACGTTCACATCTACGACCACTGTATCCAGGTGGGCAGTTACAAATCACATCACCATCACCTCCCAGTTGACAAGTGCGTCCATATCTGCATAAGAATAAGAAAATTACTACATATATTTATATTGGCCCTATTATTTTAGCACTTAGAAGCTAATTCATGAATAACACAGCAATATTGGACCATGTCATCAATTCGTCAATATCTTTTTGCAACTGATCAATGTTGGATTTGTCTCTCATTTTTGAATACACCATGCAGCCATTCATGAAAGCTTAATTGCCTATCAAATTTTGTTACAAATATCATTAACATACATAGGAAAGAGGAATATGTTTCCCAAAGGAATGCTGGATGTCATATAAACCTTCTTGGATAGAAAGTTATTCATTCGAACTCACTGTCTGTCCATGGAGAAATTACCTATTCCACTTGACTAACCATGAGTCTACTTTGGATATTGTAATATAAATAATAATTTTATTTAGAAATTTGTTGTGAGGAACTAAATAAACAGCTTTAGGAAAGACTATAACAATTGCATCAATTCTTTCTCCTTGGCAGAGTGAATTGGCAATGTCTTGACAAACAGTACCTCTTTTCATGTACTTGGAAAATTCCCCCAGCTCTTTTCCATATTATATAAAACCAAATTTAGAAATTGTGTAAACTTCTTTGGCTCTAATAACACTTTTGCCAAATTGCAAATATGTTTGCGACAGTTTGTTACCGTCTTTCTGATATTGTATGCTTTTCTTTTAAGCTGCCTAATATGTTTGTTTTAATATTCAAGTTTCAGATAATTTTTTAATATTCGGTGCAGAACAAAATGCTTACAACTCTCTAGCACAATGGACATGAAATTATTCCATATTGCCTCAACATTAAGAGTCATTTCCTGCCTAATGACTGTATTTACCACACGAATAGCCTTGTAACCTGCTACATTACTTTCACAAAAAAACAGTAAACTTTTCCACAACAAATTATTGAATTTATAGCCCCATTCCATTTTCAACAAAACACCCTGTGGTCTCTTCTGCCTGAAACATTTTCACAAGAAATAAAGAGTGGGTTATGGTGAACAGGGAAAATGTCCAGAAGTGAATGCTCCCTTATTGGATCCACAACTACTTGCCTATAACCGCAGACACTAACTAGTCTATTCATGAGCCCTTGTGCTGCGCTAATCCCTTCAATGTCACCACCCCACTTTACCTCATGCACATCTCCATTTGGAGCTTGGTACATGCCTACAATTTCACAACAACAATTTGGTCCTGTTCCTCTCACTTTAATGGCAAGTATTTCATAATTGTCGTCTATCCATGATTCTACAAAAGACAAATTATTACTGACGCAGATAAATAGGACCCTACTGCGGCCTTTTATATCCCCTCTAAAAGATGCAAGATGCTTGAAAGGTCCACAATTTCCTGCTGAATAATTGTTTTTATTCCGTAATGAAAACAAAAAGACTCACTGGTTGCTGACTGAAGTGCCGGGACATGGACAATCTGTACATGGCACTCCCCGACTAGGATCTCCAAACTGTCCTGAAGGACACTGTTGAACTTCTCGTGTGCAGAGTCCAAGCCATGGACCTGTTTGGTGTCTGTGAAAACCTGGTGCACATTGCTAAAAAACAAGAAAGTCCATCACAACCAGGTTTGTAATAAGATAAATAAATGAAATGAGCAATGCAAAATGTTTTCTTTGTTATAGAAAAGAGAAAAACTAAGAATTTTAATAATTTCACAGTTTGGCTCAATTTTTAATTCTCCTTTCCTCTGGATTTTCATTTGTGTTTATTCATTGTATCACAAATTTCTACAAATAAAAGGTCACTTTAATAGTCAAATCAATTAATACTTCATTACTTTCATTAAAATCATACCAAATTAACAGATATCGACATTTTTACAATCCTCACTATCAATTTACACTAATAGTAACATAATTACTAAAAACCATATTCCTCTGTAACTGCATCTTTTGTTTGCTAACTTGAAACTGAATGAAACCTTGGCAAAAATTTGAAACATGAAACAACGTACTTGTTTTATTTTGTATGAAATTGCACGTTTAGGGGGTTACTGCATGAAATTGTACGTTTTGAGTAGTGGCTCCAGAAAATTACATATTTTGGGGTTTTACTGAATGAATGAGCTATGACAATAAAACTAAGAATTGCGTAATATATTTGATAACTCTTATATTATCAACGTGTTTTGATTTATCTTTTTTAAATGCTTCGTTTAAGAAAAAAGTTTTTATGACTTAAACAGGCAGTGCATTCAGGTGATCTGGGAAATTCAAGTGCCATTTAATATGTATAAATTCTGCATTTTGTTGCCCTTAGTTGTGGCCCCTCAGCCAAAACCCAAAGTTGGAGGTCTATCTTCCCAATCAGATCATACATCCATTTTGCCAGTATTTGCTGAACTTAGCAACAGGAATCTGCATGTGTGACTCACATTTGACCTTATGATCAGGTGCAAAGCTTAGTGGCAAGCTGCACTGTGATTCAAATTCATCGAAATTCTCTGAATGGATGTTGCCCTGCAAGATTCGAGAGAGACAATGAACACAGTTTTCAACTACTTTTCGGTGCATGTACACATACGTCAATATAACCCAATGTTAGAGGTCTATCTTCCCAATCAGATAATACATCCATTTTGCCAGTATTTACTGAACTTAGCAACAGGAATCTGCATGTGTGACTCACATTTGACCTTATGATCTGGTGCAAAGCTTAGTGGCAAGCTGCACTGTCATTCAAATTCATCAAAATTTTCTGAACGGATGTTGCCCTGCAAGATTCAAGAGAGACAATGAACACAGTTTTCGACCACTTTTCGCTGCATGTACACATACGTCAAAGCACGGATTGACACACAGTGAACATGCCAAAGGTGAGAAAATAAAGTACAAAAATTAAATAATGGATACAAAATTTCCCAGACCTGAATACTCACGGAAAAGAACTGTCTTGCACCTGTTGCAACTGTTTTACTGAATGTTTGTTATTTCCAGAGAGCTTCAAGAATGGAAAAAAAAAATTTTTCATGATAATCATCATGAATTTCTGGTTCAGTTCACTCCAGATCATTTTAGTGTCTGATTAATTATATTAAATTTTTTTTTTAAACCTACATTTTGGAGCTAAACAAATCTTCTGTTGCAGGATGCTATATTCACACTGGATAGAATGTTCTGGTTCATTTTACATACATACCATCATTGTAATGTATGTGCATACGAAAGAAATGCTCAATTCATTGTCTAGAAGGATTTGTATGTAGATTTTATATCTTTCTTAATCCGCCCAAGAGAGAGCAGCACAAAGCAGAGCCAGCCCTAAACACTTGCAGAAGGAAACTATTGGCATGCAGAGGATGCCACACTGTGTCGAAGGGTTCAATTCACTCAATAAGAAATAGAAGTAATAGCAATACCTCACAAGACAGACCAGTATAACCTGCTGGGCAACTACAGAATTCTACAAATGATGCTTGTCCTTGTCCTGTGTTAGTAATGCCAGCTGAATCCATTCCAATATTTGAGAAGATAGTATCTAAATAAGGTCCTTGCACATACTGCCCCCTGAAAAATAAAACATATCCTCAATTTTAGATATATAAAAGAAAAGAAATAGATATCCAAAGGAACAAAGATGTGTTATATTGCAGTACATTTCAACACTACAATAAATATGTGTTATAACCATACTGCAGAATTTAAAAGTAAGTTGTGTGAAATATGTTTATCTTCTTAGGTGCTATCTAAAACCAGTATCAAATATATAGAAATGAAGTCTTGTCTATAACCTCTCCTTCCTCACTTGAACTTATTGTTAATCAGATACCATTCAACTTGCAGACAAAGAACTATTATGGATGAATTTTATGAACTTAACATATTCTTTTGTAATTTTGCTGATGAAATCAATGATAATTAAGTTATCATCCTGTAACAAAACACAAATAAAATGGAATGGCAAAAGTTAAGTTCATGTTTGATTAATAATCTGAAAGATAGATATAAGAATTTCACATGTCTTTCAGTCCACGTTCATCATTCAGTCAGGTTGAAATTTCAGTGAAATTAAGAACCCCCACTTGAGCTGGACATTTTGGGTTTCTTTATTACAATTGCCTAGTCATCTACTCATATCTTCTGAGCTCACAGCTTAATGTAAAAATTATGTAGTAAATGTTTTGTTAGCAAATTTAGTGATAAAATATACTGTTAACTAAATATTTTATTTAACAATATTTTATCAAAAGTTCTACTAGCCTCAGATTGAAGAGTGGAGAATTCCCAATAAAAATAAAATATCTTAGTCTCAATGACATTTACAAAAGAATAACAGTAGCAGAATTATTGGAGAAAAAAAAGTTTTTTCTTTATAATGACAAATATGTTTTCTTTGCTGTTAATGAGAATCACAAATGATGTTGCCTTAATATCTGGTGATCAGATGTAAGATTTTCAGCTGTCATTCATTCCAATCCATAGACAGTTCACTATTTGTAACTAAGTACAGCACATCCATTTGAGTGATTTTATGAGCTTCACAATGAAACACATTCTTATGGATTCATAAAAAAAATACTTTTTTGGCCACAAATGTAAGGGAAAATAAACACAGCTGTGCAAACTTTTCTATAATTATGGATTCTTCATTTTACCATGTTTGGTACAAAAAATTAGAATTACAAACATCTATTATAAATGTTGGCCATAAAATTTTTACAATGCTTGATACTACTCGATACAAATGATTTTAATCTTAATGCCCAAATTAATGAAATAAACAAAAGTCATATTGTTGATACCACTGCGCTAGCAGTTGATGAATCAATTATCTGTGGATTTCATATGACTTTGATGAGAAACAAAGGAACAGATAGCCATTTCTGTCTATTCACTTATCGCCTAAATGAAAAATTTAATTCCAACAAAATGAAAATATAATGCATTTAAGGGCAAACTCAAGAACTGATGCTGAAGTGCATGCAATAGAACAAAACTAATTATTACCTAATTAGAATGTTGTCCACATTACTGAGAGCCATCATAATTTCTTCTCTTGAGGCTAAATCTTCATTTGAAGAGCTAGATGGAATATCTCCTCCTGGGCGACCTGAATATGTGTGCTTTTTCCATTGGCCATAGAACAACCGAGCTGATACATTATTTTCTCTTCCCAGTTCAATATTATCCGCATAATGAACAAGCGTGTAACCATTGCCCTAAAAAATAGAAACTTGAATGACTGGAATAACCATGTGTTACTGCTATGTACTATGGTTTCTTCTATAATAATACAAAAATAAAAAAACATATTATACAGAAAAAAGTATAATCTAAATCTGGGTTGCTTTAAAGATAAAACACTCACAGTTAAGATAACATCAGGAATATTTAGTAGTGGTCCACGGCCTTCAGGACGAACTGTATATTTAACAAAACCTCCGTAAGATTTTAAATGATGCCCTAAGTAGTTTTCAGGCAATGCAAAGTACAAGTACTCATTGTCAGGCAGCCTTTCATAACCAGATTGATGATATATCTGAAACATTTTCATTGTGTAATGTACAAAATTAATACAAAGAGAGAATTGAAATACAATAGAAGGGAGGAGACAGTTAAGAGTCAAATGTTTAGATTTAAAAAAAATAATTTTTTCTCAGAAGTTTCTATTGCAATTCACCTGAAAACCAGTTCTTGAAACAGACCGAACAGGAGAAGTACGGAAAGGTGTAGAAGGTCGCACATTCACTTGGCCATCAGGATCCAGATTTACTGTCACTAACCGATATTCAGTGATTGGAGGTGGCAACTGCAAGAAACAATCAAAAAATAATAAAATGATAAGTATATTTATACAGAATGAGAACATTTTTAATGTATGGCATCCATGTTCTTACCTGGTATGTGAAGAGATCAGCACTCTTGCATTCAGTGGTGATGCCAAAACAGAAGCAAGGTATACAGTCACGTTCTGTAGTAGCCAAATCATTGAAGTAGCCTCGTTGACATACAGAGCTAGGTCTTTTAACCACCAATATAGTATCAGGAACTGCAAATTCAGAACCCCTGGTGTTGATGGCTTCACAACTGCAATAGATTTTATACATCAACTTCATGAAAACACATCAAATGTCTTGTTACCACAACAAATTTATTATATGGATGCACTGATTCTGAGGAGAATTGGCATCTGTTACTTTGTTTCCAATTCCAACTGACCTGTATGCACCCTGATCTTGAGGTTGGATATCAGGACATGTGAGCTTTCCTTCCCCTCCCACGCTTTCCATTCGGCATTTAGCTGGAACATGGCCCCAGTTAAGACGCCAAACCACTTCTGGAGTTGGGACTCCAAGGGCCTTGCAAGTGATTGTAAACACTGATCCCTGATCCAACACAACCATAGGAGGTGGTGGACTCTGAATGTGAACTGAAGCTGTAAGAATCAAACAATAATTTTAGTATTTGTGTAATCTTAAATTATTTGAAATAGCATCAAATGTAATTTAATGAAACAAAAGTATCAAATGAAACTTAATGTGAAAAAGAATGTCTAGATTTTGTTACACAAAGCTGGTTCAACAAGGAAGCGTGGAATCTCGGTTTGATGCTAGGCAAGAGCGAATCTGTGATTTGAACTGTTTAAGAAACAGAGGGCATCAAAGAGTGCGGGAGAAAGAAAATCTGGTGATGCAGAAGGAAATGTTGAAAGGTGGAATCTGATGAAAGACCAAGAACAATGCAAATTCAATGTGCAAAGCTTTCAGTCTTTTCTAAAAAGTCAGAAGACATCGCTGCATGAAGGGAGGACCAAAAAAAAAAATTGATACATGTAAAGATGATGAGGGTAGTCACTAAAACCAAGATAATAATGATTTTAAGGAACAAGAAAATGACAGTTCAGCAATAAGTCTTTACATTCTCAGGCAATGTTCTGGTTAGTGAAACAATTTGCAATTTTATTTTGACTTAATAGTAAGAATTAGTTCAAAATTTATAAAGTTCTCAGGACACCTCTTCAAAATCAGGGGGTCTTCTTATACTCAGAGTCAACTTATATTCGGGTAAAAATGGTATTAGAAAAATATTTGGAAGTATTTTTTAATGTAAAGTATAAAGTACTTGAAAATATACGCAATGCGAAAAACAACATTCATTCAACTTGCATTTGGATAGTTGTTGATTTTAACACACATATTTTTTACTTCAAAATACTTTGTGACAAGTGAGTAGGATAAATATTTACCAAAATATCACTCTTATTAACAACTTCATAAAATGTGGGTTTATTTTTATATACTAATGTCCACAGGAACGTATCCTGTTTAACACCCAATAAAAACTGCTTAAATTCCTTCGGCTCTGAAAATTCATTCTCCTATATTATTCCATTTTGCAATATTATCCCAGAAAGTCTAAGGCAAAAGCAGAAGTTCTATGACAAATAATCAGCTTTGACAATCTTGTACATTTTTCTAGTAAGATCAAATTATAGTTTTTTCCCCCCGTATTCTCAGAAACATAAACAATTAGAAATACTTACGTAAATATTTTTGAATAAGGAACACACAGCAAATCACTCAGTTGAGAAATTAAATAAATCAAGTTTTAGAAATATAAATGATCAATTAGTGTTACAGTAAAATCACACACATTTTGTTTTGTATCAAGACAAAAATGTAGACGATAAAGCTTATATGTTGCTATTACTCATGCAATTGATCAAGGTTTCTCAGATGTCTGTTTTATGTTTGCACAGGTTCTGTTAAAAATGTCATTAAAAAACATCAAAATAAAATTGTAGAATATTACTTACAACAACCATATTCATCACTTCCATCTTGGCAATCATTTTGGTGATCACAGTGGAAAGCTCGTGGAATACACTGATTGCCACGGCGACATTGAAATTCATTATAACGACATGGAGAACCTGGAGGGTTGGTGGCACAGTTTTCTTCATCGGAACGATCACCACAATCATCATCCCCATCACAGCGCCAAGTTTTCAATACACATTTCTTATTGGAGCAGCGGAATTCATTGGGTTCACAACCACCTGCACCTAAAGATTATAAATTCAATCAGAAAAATTACATGCCAGGAGAATAATTTTATCACACATTTGTTGAATTCATTATTTCAAATTAATAAGTACTCACTGCATCGCATTTCATCAGAACCATCACTACAATCGAAATTGCCATCACACACAAGGGTCTTGCTAATACATTCCCCATTTGAACAAGTAGCTTCGTGAATTGCACATGCTTCAGGAGGTCGGGGTTGAGGCAACGTGACTAAAATACAAAGAGAAAAAAGTAAGATTTTTTCAATATTAGAAAACACGATTCTCAATGCTTGAAAATATTTTTGCCATCTACAAGCTAATTTCTTTTAAATATTTTTAAATTAGAACAGAACTATGTCACTTACCAAAAAGCAAATCCAAGATTGCATTAATGCACATAAATGTGAATATTATTGCCTCTAGTTGATAAGCCACAGTATTTCAAATAATAAAAAGCACAATCTACAGAAATTACTATTCTGGAATCCTACCTGGGCCATAGTAGTCATATTCAGTGTATGGGAGGACACCATATTTAAGAAGGGAAGGAGATCCTGAATGGGAATGGGATGTATTTTGAGATGGGGTGATAATAATCCTTCCTGCTGCATGCAAAGCAAATATTTAGTTAGATGTAATACGTTTTGTGCAATTGTATACCGTTTTATTGTTTTATTTCTCTTAAGAAACAGTTCCCACATGTTTAGATAAAAGAATTTTTTCTAATTAGTTCATTTCATAACAAGTAACAATCTTATGTCTATGTTTTTACAGACTTCAATCACGTACTGAGAGCTTCTTCGACCCCATCTTCTGACACTCGTATGTTCAGGAACTAGACTCTAACCCCTGATGTTATGAATGTCAGATGGAGGTGCAAAAGCTCTCAAAATATCGTTGAAGACATAGATATAAGATTAATGTTTACTTGTTATGTAATATATATTTAATAAGAAATGGTAGATGATTTCATATAGTTTACAAAGCAACTGAATATTGCTTATACAAATTTTCTGTTTTCTCTACCCTTAACTTGAAATTTAAAAAATTTGTGCTAGAAGTCTTTGATGACCATTATAATTTTTGTTAGCATTAAAAGAGTTTACTGAAATTCCTCTTAAACTGAATGAGATATGTAACAACAAATAATATTTTTTTAAATCAAAAAACAAGTTAATGAATATTCTAGGAAAAGAACATTACAGAATGAAAATAGTGATAAAGATCAGATAATATTATTTTAGTACAAGTAACAACATTTACCATACTTAGATAACAGATTGGCACAAGAAAATGAAGTTTTTACATGAAAATAATACAGTCTAATAAAATTAATGTCTGCATCAAGAGTGATTTCAAAATATCAACCCAAAAACAAAAATTAGATCTCACAATGTACCATAATTTAAAATAATTTATTATTTTCTTTGGTAATGATACATCAATATTACTAATTTCCAATGCACACTGATACTGAAAGAAAACTTTGCAGCCTCCAGAAATGAAAGAGGTGTCTTATGGTTTCATTAGATTCTCAGGCACCCAGCAAAAATACAAAAATAATGAAATAGTTTTGATTTTGACTGAAAATATTAGATTGTGTTATTCCAACAATATGCTCACTGCACAAACCGACTGAATTTTTGTACTCGGTGCATCACAGCTTAAGAGACAGCTGATGTTATCAGACAGCAAGGTTTTAAAAATGAGACTGCTATTAAATACTATTCATATGTTGCCTTATGGAACAGCAACCTTTTTATGTTCTTAATATGTAAAGAACTGTTGTTCTGTATGTACACACCGTACTATGTTATAGCAGTATTCATGAAGACTGTTTTGTTACAATCATTTTGTGTATGCTTATTATTCTGAATTTGAACAATATATTTGTGAATTTTATTCATTGTTGTCTATGAATTGTAGTTTTGATGACTTCATTGCATTATTCTATTTTCATGCATATCAAGATTTTGATCTATATGTACCTAAAAAGGTATTGAAGAAATTGAATTTTCTTCAGTGGTACTGCTGGGAAAGCTGAAGTGCAGATGAAGGCTTTTGGCAGGAAGGGATTTCACTTGTGTTAATAGGAAATTGGTCCAGTACATTAGTATCGACAAGAAAAAATTCTAGAGATACATTAACTCGAGATAGGTTAGTAGGCACATACCTGATGCAATGAACATGGGCTCGTGTACTTATACAGGCTTATACTCAATAGTTAATGGATTTGCCAGTTACTTCTCTACTTTTCATAGATAGCATCCAAATCGAGCTGCTGATATATTTCTCGAAGATCAATCCAATTATGTGGTAAATACTATTGACATTGGTGTTGCAGATATATTACAGAAGATTGAAAGGCTAAATCTGGGTGGGGAAATGGGTCCCTACTGCTAAAAATCTGTAAATATGTTTTATCCTAATTACTTAAAATCTTATTTGATATATTTTTACTTTAAGAACAGTTTCCAACAGCTTGAAAGTCTAATACCTATATTAATATAAATATAATACCTATATTTAAATCTGGTAGCAGGGAATGTATCTCTCACTACAGATCTATAATGATTTTAAATGTTATACCAAAACTGTTTGAATCTTTGATTTTTGATAAACTGCAAGTTATTGTTTACCCCTTTCTGTCAGATAGACAATTTGGTTTTATGCATAGGAGAAATATAGTCTAACATTATTTATTATTGTTGCTATATTCTTAATGTAATCGAAGATTCTTTCCAAGTTGACAGCACATACAATGGTTTTAGCAGGGCATTTGATTCGGTGATTTTTTTTTAAGCAAGGGTCATGTTATTTTTGGGAAAAACTTTTTTTTGTGGTTTTGTTCAGAGTATTTTCGCTACTGCAAGCTACTAGTTTTCCAAAATTTGAATTTGTTACTGTCAATAAGAATATTAAAAGAATTTTTTGGTAGTACAAATATTCCCTGAGGCAGACAATAAATTTTACCTACAAATTATGAAAATTCAAAATTTTAAATGAAAGAAACTTGAATAATAATTAAACATCACTCTTTAAAATTTTTGTACTTACATGGTTCAACAGTCAGATGCACGGAAACTTGCCTTCCAGGTGTAGAAGCTGGCACACCTAGTGCTTCACAAATGTATGTGCCTGAATGATCCAGCTGCAAAAAAAGTAAAATAAATTATAATAATGAAAGAAAGCATGAAAAGAAGTACCCATATGATTGGTTGTCTGCCCAGAGAAGGTCAGAGGCATAAGAATGCATCAATGTAATTGTATACGTAGGCTTCCGCGGCTCAAGTCCATTACTTCTAGGCTGTCCGAGTGACGCTGCGTCGTTGGCAGATAGGCCGACGTTTCGCCTGTCATGTCGCAGGCTTCTTCAGGGTCAGTTATCTGAAGAAGCCTGCGACATGACAGGCGAAACGTCGGCCTATCTGCCAACGACACGGCGTCACCCGGACAGCCTAGAAGTAATCAGTGTAATTGTTTGCAGCGGTAGCCACCTGTAAGACAAAGCAGAAATGTATTCTGATGCATATCAATTAATATACTGCTGACTACTAATAATTATTTAATTTCTCTCCTAAAATAGGCTAAGCCTGATGGATGCCCATATGTAAAAATTAAAATAAAATGAAATAAAAATATACTTGAAAGCATCCATCATTTATGAGTGATGCTCTTACCACCACAACATCAATATAATGTTTTCATTTTACTTTCTTAACTTTCTATAGACTACATAGTATAGAGAAAGTATTCTAATGCTGCAGCAACAATCTGAAATTTTTTGACAGAAAAAAACATATTGTAGAGCTCTTGTATTGAAAAACTGAATATATCTTGTTTCTATATGGAGAAAATTAGTTCTTGTAATGCATTGTGTATTCACAATCATATTTTGTGAGTCCTTGATATCACCAAATCAATTGATGCAATCCATGCAATCGTGGATAAAGCTAGTGCCTAATCATTGAAATGATTTTCTCTAAAACTGTTGAACTTATGGTTAAAAAAGGTGTACTTTTGTAATTTTCAAAATTCCAGAGATCCAATCCAAATTGGACCTATGCCGTATTAATAAACAAATTATTCAAGCAAAATATTTAAAGAAAAAGTTTTTTAAGAAAATTTTGAAAATGCCCCACACATACATGAGAAAGTAAAATAAAAATTAATAAACCCTTTAAGAGAAATTCAGGAACATTAATAATAAAAGAGATGTAGGAGAATGTGTTACTGATTCTGGAATAGAAGTAGGGATATTTTATCATGAACGATTGCTTGTACAGAGGATTGGGTAATTTTCTTTATGACAGCCGCAGATATTAGAGTTATTGGCATTCTTTGCAGAAACTATCAGGCTTTCTTCTTGAATAAATTGATTTGCTAAGAAGTGCATGAATTAACTTTTCATGATTTCCCTTTTACCCTTTCTTTCTTGCTTGCTTGCTTTCTTTTGAATTTTCTTTTTCTCTCTTGCTTTCTTCTTTCTTTAATAACTCTTAAAACTGTCCTCCCCTTTCCTTTCTTCAGGCAACCCTTTGAACTTTTAAAGTTTATGCCTGAAATCTTATATTTATTATTAAAATTATTTTTATTTTCTGTGTTTTAAATTTCTCTTTTAAGCTTTTGATTTTTTTCATTTAAAATTAACACTCTATCTTATGCAAATCAACCTGTGATGCCTACTAAGCAACGCACATTGGCAACAATATACATCGCCAAGAGTGCCACTTCGCAAAAGATAGTGTTAACCTACAAGGTGCATCAAGTGACTCACGTGCGCAACAATCGACATGTGTCAATGCGGATGACGTCATCAACATTAGGTGACATGTGTCAATGCAAATGCTTGTGTGACACAGGCCTTAAAGGAAATATTGAAACTCAAGGAAATTAAAGATTCATAATGACATTAAAGGACTGGTGGCATAAAGTGCAAGTATTAGCACTATCTCTTTTACCAGTCATGCCTGTGCTTGGCTGTGTTTCTTCCAAATAACAAGTAACTCCAGCTTCCTTCATGATCTTTTTGTCCAATTTCTCTGATCCATTGAGCAAATGCTGAGATAGCCCCTTAGTTTGCTTGTGGATATAAATGTAGCTTCACTATATACACGTTTTGTTGAACTCTCCTTTTGCTTTTAGTTGAAGGAGTAGAGCTGTCGTGTGAGGGTAGGGTAGGGTAGGGGTAGGGGTAGGAAGGGGTAGAGCCATTTTGTTAGAAAAACAAACAATGACTGCAGCATGTTTACTAATGCAAATAAGTTTTCTATAACACAGGAGAGAAAATTGCTAACATTGCTTTTTGAAGCTTTTATCCATCATTCAACTATTTATGGTTAAATGATTGGAGAGATTCTGTAGCTCAAGAAAACGTGCAGATGGTACAGCTCACCCGTACATCACATACAGTATTTACTGTTCTTTGATGATATAAACAAAATCAAATAAATCTTAAGTAATGTTGGCACGAGTTCTTGTGAGCAGGTCCAAGAGTGTAGGGCATTATTGTAAAAATATTGAGTTTTTGTTTAGCTCACAATGCTCACTTTCATTTACTCATTTTTCTCACTTATACATTTTTCCCTTTAGTCCCCTGAAAAATGTATAAGTGAAGTTTCACTGTATCAAGGATTAGCTATGAAATTTAACACAATAATTCAAACAGTTAAATTTGTGTAGTATCAACATTTGATAAGGATTTTACCTGAATTTCTGGCATCTCCAAACGACCATTGAAATCTCTTGAACCAGGAGGCAGAGGCAAACCATTCCCTCGCACCCAATGAACACGAGCACGACGTGGCCCTTCATCTCTGCACTGGAATACCACTTCCCTTCCTATATAGAGATATATAATTAGCCTCCTTCATAAAACAAAAACAAATAGACAAGAACTTGACAAGCACGAAATTCTTATGTTCCAAAAAGTAACATAATGGATTTGGAAAATATGTTTTCATTTAAATGAGTATTTACATACTTATAGATTAAATTTAAGGGAGAGTATAAAACACGGTAACATCAGAGAAAAAATGTGTTAATATATCTTATCTCTTGCTTGATTTCAGGTGTTGATTAAAAGCTGTTAAAAAAACATTCACTTACGCAAGTCATATAATTTAAAATTTTTCATTTTTATTGGTTGAAATATGTACTTTATGGTTCAATAACTTTTGAAATAGAATCAATGATGTGTAAACCTGATTTTGGTTTTAAAAAAATGAATAAAAAATTAAAATAGGTAAATGCATGTCTGTGTAGGACAGAAAACAGATTTTAACATTTATTTTCACGCAATACTTTGTGTATAAACTGCACAATAAATTATACATTTTTAACACATTCAAGTTGTAGCTCGTTTATTTTCCACCACAGGTCGTCAGGTTTTGGGGTATATTTGTAGGGTCATAGCTTCTAAACCAATAAACCAAGAAGCAAGATTCTTTTTAATTTAAAGAAATAATCTCACACTTTCATACAAAGTTCCAACTTTTATGTTTACATTAATAGTTTAAAACATTTTTTAAAGTAAATTACACAAGAAATTGAGTTCAAAAAAAGCTTTAACATACTAATTTTAATTAAATTCTTACAAATTCTATTAATATTTGAACATTATATGTACCATTACATTGATGTCTAATGCAATAATTAGGAAATCATTAATTTTTTATTTCTAATAATTGGCTTTGGTGAGATAATTTTGAAGAGCGTATCTTAAGGCATAACTGCAGTGGGCATGTGACATATGGACATTTCAAAGCTATTTAATACCCCTTAACAGGCAGCAAACTAAATCTAATGGTGGTTTTAGGTACTTGATTGATGTAGAAGACTCTATGAATAGTCAGTAAATGGAAAATGGCATGATATAAATAGATATATGCACCCAAAGATTCTACAGGCGTCATAATTCAAGGCAAACCTGTCGGCACCTATGGGCACCGATTCTATGGGCACTCACCTGAATGTGTTAAAATTTGTATACTTTATCATTTATCTATACTTGTAGCTACCAAACAGCCACTTTAAATTGCAATAAAGCACCATAATAAATGTATTCCAATGATAAATTCCATTCTCTATTCTCTAAGGTTTTGAAGATCAGATTAACTTGGCCAGTTTTGTAACTGACTGGTGATTTTGATGCCTTTTTGTCAGTATGGATGTTTATCCAGAAGCATACATCTATATTTTTTTCAATACAATGATATAATTGTTATAATCATTTAACTGAATGATGGTAAGCAGCAAGAGCTGTAAATGTTACTGAACCTTTTCATTTAGTTAGCAAAAGACTTTTATCTGAAGAGTGTAAGCAAGCATTTAGGATACCTTCAAGAAACTATGATGAGCTGTAATTTTTCAAGGCAAAAGCAGGTATCTTATTTTTCCCGAAAATCAATCTTTAGATTTTTATGGTTCCTTCATTTTTCAATTTTTATTTAATAGCTCATTAAAATAAATATGTATATAGAGAAATAATACATTTCTGAATAATTTTTTGGGGTATTTTGTGCAACAGTTATGTGATGGAGAAAAACATTTGAAGCTAGAAAAAGACTTGCAGAAGGAAATGGTGCAATGCAAAAAAATTCCCATTTTTTCTATTCTATGTTAGCTATAAAAATATTAAATATAAATTTTTTTCTCAATTTATTTTTTTAATTTGGATCATTTTGGTATTGTCAAGACATGCAACTTCATCTGGGAATTTCAGCCAGTAAGCAGGACATCTTTAAATGAGGAACAAGAGGGCTTCCATGTTGGCCTCGTTTTCAACATCAGTTTTTGACCTCATAATGCAGTCATATGATAATTCAGTATGCTGCTCACTCACTAATTTTGTCACTAGCATTCAAAGGAGTTTTCAATTCACAATCTTTTAAAGAGAAGAAGGATCTGTGTCAGATATTTTATTATTTTGGTATCACACAACATATCCTAACATGAAAAAAATATGCAATTTTGTCGTATGGGGTATAAATCCATAAATAGTTTAGACTCTTGTACAAAAGTACGCCAGCATATCACAGTATTTTAAAGGTTAAGATATTCACAATTCTTTATATTATAGAAAATTTTAATAAATAAGACATTAAATATAGTAAGTGGGTGCAAATAAACATAGGCCAAAATGAAGCTTTCTCAGTACATAAAAAGACTTCACCGTTAAAGTAACTTGAGGAAAGTTTTAGCTCCATAATTACTCTTTGAGGTAAGCATTCCCTATAAAAATACTGTACAAAAGGTTAAAAACACAAAAGTACGGAGGCAAGATGAAAAGTTCTTGGCCTTGCACAAAATGGGGTTGACAACAATGAACTTTCATATTTATACATGTTTTGCAATAACGTTTCTGAATTGAGAACTGTTCAAATTATTACTTTTGTTTGTACTGCTATTGAAAGTTGATGTGAAGTCTGGGTTTTGTTCAAATGGAGAATGTAATACTGTGCCATTGTAAAATTCTTTGTTTTGGACAGTTTACTGCCAACACAAATTCATCCAATGTTTAGAGTTTGCTACTTCCATTTTTGACAGTCAAGAAACAGACTGCTGAATTTAAACATTATCATACTTCTCTTGAAGATTTTCTAAGTGACAGACGTCCCAAAACTGCAACCATGGAGGAAAATATCAAAAAAGTGCACAATATTGTATTGGAAGATTGGCGAGTAGTGGTGCATGAAATAACTGACACCATAGAATCTCAGAAGAATGTGTACAATACATTATACATGAAGAATTGATTACAAGAAAGCTTTGGGCAAGATGGGTGCCACATTTGTTGACTGCTGACAAAAAAAAAAAAAATTACTTTCACGGCAATGTTTGCATCACTTTAAAAACTTCAACAGATTTTGTGCATCAATTTGTACCTGTGCAAGAGATGTGGGCTAATCAGAAATTAACCAGAAATTAATCAGAAATTGAAGCTCTGGGTGAAAGCCAGTGGCCATGCACCAAAGAAGACAAAGAGCAATTCATCTGTTGGAAAGATTCCAACAAGTACTTTCTAAGATGCCAAAGGAATAATTATCATTGATTTTCTTGCAAAGGGTAAACCCATTAATGGCGAATATTATGCAAGTCTTCTAGAACAACCAGATGAAATTATTCATAAGAAGAAGTCTGGGTTGAAAAATAAAAATAAAAAAATCATTTTTCATCAGGACCTGGTCACAAAGGTGCTTTGGCCATGGGAAAACTGAGGAATTTGTACTATGAATTATTGGAACTTCCTCCACCTTCGTCAAATTGGGCACCCTCTGACATCCACCTATTCCCAAATCTCAAACAATTTCTGTTTGAAAAATGTTTTGTACCCAATAAAGCTATAGATAGAATTTACTCATTGGAAAAACGTTGGACAAAGTGTGTTGACCTTCAAGGGGGCTATGCAGAAAAATTAGTGCAATTTGAAACTAAAAACAAATGAGGCAAAGATCTTTTTACCCTGCCCTCGTAAAGCACATATTTTGTGAATCAGCACATAGGGACACAAAAATTTCATTAGAAATAAACCAAGTGCAGCAGTCCAAGAAGACACTGAAGGCTTTCTTGACCATTTGTTACTGAAAGCAGGTGTTTTTAAGACACATGCTCCAACATGCGTCAGAACTCAAAAGTGTCCAAACTTACCTTCGTGAACTGGAAGTCCATAGAAAGAGCCAAAACATGAACAAATGGGTTTGTTAGTCACACATTTAAATAGAATTTCAACTTTTTTTTAACTTGGGAAATGGAGTCACGTGATAAGGTAAAAGTGAAAAAACTGAAATTGGAATTGGTGGCGTAGGCTTCCACAGTCGGAGTTTGTGTTGTCTAGGCTATCCTGGACGAGCCATGTCAGTGACACGGCTCGTCCCGAATAGACTAGACAACTGAAATTGGAATTGTTGTTTTGTAATTGTTTCTTTAACTGAAACAACTTCCATTTATCTTTTATTATACATTTTGATATTATGTATTAATAAGATTAAAACATTAAATTAATATATTAAAACAGCTCCATTCTTCCATCTGAGTGGACAAGCGACTGCGACGGGGACGGTTGCTAAAAGTTGAAGGGAAGCCAAAGGTATTTCAGATGTTGTCAAATTGCCAAAATAAGTGGTCGTGTTTTCATACATGGGTTGCAAGTTAATCTAAAGACCCAGTAGTATTATTCCTTTAAAAATAAATTCATATTTCTCTGATTTAAAACAAAATAATTATCTACTTACTAATATAATATAACAATTCAATATATTGTGCAAATCACAGTCAGTAAAGCCCTACTAAAGTATACTAAAGAATCCTTTTCTCTAAATTTCATGACGTATCATAGAAAGATTTTCTAGGTAATTTGTGCACCAGATTTTGTACAGGATTTCGAAGATAAAAAATCTGCATTGTAAACAATAGGGATGGGAACAAAAAAGGTAGAAAGAAAGGATGAAGAATCATATTTTTAAAATAATAATGTTTACTTTTTTTTTATTTAGAAAAGTAAAATTGTATTATCCTATAATATTTAAATTGGAAGAACAAAGGTCTCTGTGAACACTGAAAAATTAAAAATTGTATTACTCAAATTTCACTAAAGGAACTATTTAATGATTGCAATTTAAACTATCTGTAAATGAAAAAATATATTTTCATAAAATATATTTTTTCGTCATTTGAGAATGCATTTTTTCCTACTTTGAAAATAGTAATTTATTAGTTAAGGGAGATATGCTGCCCAAAGAAAATTTAGTATATTAAAATTTAATTTCGTTTGTTTAATTTTCAGTGAGTTCACATTCCTTTGCACATTTTCAGTTATTTATAAACAATTATTACAATTACTAAATCACTACTTATTAGAACACTAATTTGGCACTGTCATTCTATTTCCATTCAAAACACGTCAAAATTGATTTGAAACACTTACAAGAATAGTTTCCTTCAAAAAAACTTTTATTAAAAATAATTAGTTAAAAATGATGCTTTGAAAATGTAGGATAATAAAATTTAGTAACTGCAAGTTTAAAAAAAGAAATAATAGCTATTAATATTTTATAAAAAAAAGATATAATAGCTATTAATATTTTACACAAGGTTGAACTAATAACAACAACTTTATTTACAAGAATTACAACTTGATAAAATTTTCAGAATATCAGGTCAATTTTGAAATGTTCTGAATAAGATGAATTAATACTACATTAAATCGATCACATTTATGTTAGTTTAAAATTCAATAATGAAAACATGCCTAAAAATTCATTACATCTTACCTTCTTTTATAATTTGTTCATCTGGGTAAGTTTTCAGGTTCAGTCCATCTCTTGAATCTAAAAACATAATAATGTTCCATTAAAAAAACAACTAAAAAACATAATATAAAAGATTGACTGTCATTCCTGGAAATATGACTGAGTATTACCAATCAATTTTGATCCATCACGGAATTTGAATATTACACAGGGCCATAATTCTTCAACAGCAGAGTGGGAATATAGGGTACAAAATCAGACAAACACTTGAATAAAATCACTGTACAGGATTGTGACCATTACTTTGTACACATTCTTTTCTTATTAGTAGCTTTCAATTTACCAACTATTAAACAGTAGGAGGAGGAACAATTATACATTGTTTGCATTATTCCTTTGGTGAACAGATACCTAAATTTTCAACCCAGAAAGAGCTTTTAATTTTCGACCCTGTTGTAGAAATTATGATAATTATTAAGAAAGATCGTGATAAGAAATTTTATGAAAGATGATAATATGGAGAAAATTGTAATTAAGAAAAACAAAGCTTATAATCTATAGCTGAGAACCACGAACCTAGGAGGATAGAAAATAATATGTGCAGTGTTGTAAAGAAGTAAAGAGAGAAGTAACGAAAGCCAAAAATGAAATTATAGAATAAAAAATTTAAGACTATTGACGAGCATATGGGATATAGAAAGGTCAAAGGTCAAATCTCTTAGATCAAACAGAAAAGAGACTATGTCCATAAGTCTTTTTCCCTTAAAAGAGTGGAATGTATATCATCAGAAGCTGTTACGAAGTTTGTCCAGTATTTATTACTCAATCAGACAATGAGATAAGTTCCTCAGATTAGATTTTTACAGAAAATGATGTCATCTCAGTCAATGCGATAAAAAGCGCTCTTACAAGGGAATGCTGCAGTGTGACATGTCAAAATAATGCCCTCATATTTTTTTCATGAAATTTACATGCCCTCTGATACCACGATGTAAAGTTTGGCCGCCAATTACTTTAAAAATTTCCAAATATGCCAACATTTTCGTACTACTTTTAGTTTCTAGAGAGAATGTGGACAGTCCTTGCAAGCTGAGCAGCGAGCGCATGGGCACCAAGGTTGGCATTGTAGAGGGTTGTTTCCTCAAGGTCAAATGACATTCGGTGGGAGTAGGGCATTCCCAGTACACTCAATGCTTTTCTTATTGTCAAAGTCCATTTTATTTGAGATATTTTATTTCCTTACCAATTGAAGTTAGTTATTTTTTTCATTATAAATATCTTCAATATGCATAATTATTAAATATTGAAAACATATTATATAACTACAGTATCACTTTATAATTAAATTATGTAAAGAATATATTTAAGAGAGATGAAGTTTTGTGAATCAAATTTACATGTCATGACCTCATTTTGGTCTTTTGTTAGCAAAAATTACCACTCTTTAATTAGTGCCTACTTGTGTCGATAAAATTAATTTTCTCATTCTAAAATTCCGAAAGACATACAACTTTACCATACTTTTCCAGTTTGCACCGACCTTTCGCATGTGATTACACAAGTGACCTGCTTCACAGTAGACGCAGACAAGAGCTCTCATATTCATGAGAATAGAGCTCCAGGTTAGGTAGCTTATGTTGGATAGATGCAGCAAGGTTTAGCAAGGTTTGGCAGCAGGCAGCGGTTGCAGCAAGGTTTATCTTGACGAAATGCACTTCTTACATAAACAAACAAGAGATAAAACTAAAATTTGGAAATACTTGTCTTGGAAGTTTTTGACTATAAATAGTTAATATTAGTTTTAATATTTTAGCTGCTAGGAGGGGCAGCTGCCTCCCGACCTGCCCCTTGCAGGAAACGACCTTGGAAGCAGAGTCTGCCGCTTGTGGCGAGCACTGGTGTTGAAGCACAAGTGAGCACGCTGGATAACTCCTGCTTTGCAGGGCTGGCCATTTTTACTTTGGTGAAAGCCTAGGGCCCATTTGTAAATTAAGGATGTTTTTTAATTGATTTGCAGTGTGTATCAGCACCCAAAATGAAAAGAAGGATTAGGACAGGTTTTGACATGTCACATCGTAGAACTCCCTTGTTAGATCCATAAAAAATGGATGCTCGTTTGGACTGAATGGGCTCTACATAGAACTTTTTAAATATGGGAAAGACTTGCTTCACGAGCTGTTAGCTTATGTTTTCTTCTGTTTCTTCAGGAATGAAATTGTGCCCCCAAGTGGAAAACAGCTTATATTTCAAACATTTACAAGAAAGACGAGAGACGAGTTTCTTCCAATTACAGAGGAATTAGTGAGACTAATTCTCTTTAAAGAGTATATGACAAAATTATAAAACAAAGAATTGAAAATCAGATACATGAGTCAAAAGAAGAAAACAGATTTTGTGCCAGCTGATTATGTACAGATTGTGTTTTCTGTTAAAAGCAGCTCCTGGAGAAATGGTTAGCAAGAGACCTTGAAACGCACTTGGTCTTCATAGATAAAGAAAAGGTGAATGGCAGTATTCCTCTTTGTAAATTGTAGTTAGCAATGAAAGCAAATGGAGTTAGCCACAAAAGAAAAAATTAAGAACAATTGAAATGGGTTATAGAAATAACAGAATAAGAAATGAAGATGTATTATCAAAACTAAACAGAGGGACCACAATTTTAGACACTGTAGAGGCAAAATGCCTGCAATGGTATGGGCATGTGTGTCGAATGAAAGAGGCCAAAAAAAAAAAGATCGAATGGACCTCTGCTGAAAAAGGAAGGAGGGAGACCAAGGATGCACTGGAAGGATGCAGTAACTAAAGCTACAGATGGAAGAAACCTGCAAGAAAAGGACTGAAAAGATTAAAGCAAATGGAAGCTAGGATGCAATAAGCGCCTCTATGCTGTAATAAAATTGTAAAAAATAAAAATATTAAGAAAGAAAGAATCCTAGTTCAGTGATAGTGAAAAATGTGAGATTCTAAAAAATGAGATAACAAAATGATCAAGAAGCAGTTCGATAGAATGTCATTTTGAAACAATACAATCATTCCAATAAACATGAAATGTGGATGCTCATATTCTGTGCAATTTACCTCAATGAACATGTAGTATTGTGAGTAAATAAATATTTACTGATAATAATCTCTTATTATTGGCACTCTATACCTCTAACAAGATTATAACACTTCGCTTCAATATGTGAAGCTTCACAAGTAATATTAGTCTATTTCTTAACTGACACCTCTCTCTTATATTTATTGTCAAATCTTCTATCATTTGAACACAGACTCAATTATCCACAGCTTCATGATATGTGTAGATATAAAATTATAAAACAATTTTTTAATAAATTATATTTCATAGCAGTCTTTGACGGTTTCTCTACTAAGTATGTCATCAGTGAAGATATGTTTAAATTTAGTCTCAACAATATATTTTCTTCTAATGAAGGTCCAGTAGAGCATCAATAATGTGCATAAAAAAATTGGACTGTTCATAATCTGGATTTGATTACAGTGCAAAAATTGCATGAAATGAATTCTGTATGTAAGTACATAATTATTTAAAAGCATTGGCATGACCAGTGCTTGATTTATAAAATTGTAGGTCCAGGAAGGTACCTTAAATTATTCAGTATTATTTATTATTAATTACTTATTAACTTAATAGAAATAATTATTTTTAATATAATTTAATAATTATTCGTGAGGTACCGGAATGCCATTCCGGCTCATTCCGCCAGAAACGAAGCCCTGGGCATGACAAAATAATTTTATTAAAACTATTTTTGCAGAATAGTTATTTAACAAGTCTTAGTCTTTGTCTTTAAGGATGAGGCTATAAGTTAACTGTGAGGTGGAGTGATAACACAGCTGGATAGTTAACTTTCAAGGAGACAAAGGCACAAAATGAGACAAGGGGGCAAAAGGGACAAATGAGACAATGGACAAAATGGGGCAAATGGGGACAAAATGGGACAAAATGGGACAAAGTGGACTAAAAGACAAATTGACAAAATGGGACATTGGAAACAAAATAGGAAAGGGAGACAATGGGAACAAATGGATAAGAGGGATAAACAGACAAAGGAGACAAAAGGGACAAGGGAGCAAAAAGGACAAAAATTTCAGAATCAATTTCTTGTAACACTAATGAAGATAAATGTCAAAATTTCAAATGGCATTACATTCAGAGGTAAATTAAAAAATTGTAACTTTAATATATCAGTACGAAAACAATAGTAACAATAAATTTTGTATACACTTATTCCTAAAAAGTCGGTTTTGTGGCAATGACATTTATCCTAAGATTCATAAGTACAGAAAAAATCTAAACCCGAAAGTCCACTAAAATATTTTTAATGGAGCATTGAGCATTTAACGGCTATTGCTATGGATGTGCTCTTGATGTGTTGTTTAGTTGGTTGGTTGCTAACACGCTAAGCGAGTTTACCAATTAAAACAAAGACACAAAATAAGCTATAAATAAGATAACTCAATTTTATAATATGTTTACATTTTAAATAAAAACGATTTTGGCCAAAAATTCAAGCCTACATGTAAAGTGGGTCTAGAAGGAATTTTCCAGGAGCCACAAACGGGAACCCAAACTTTCCCCTCATACTTTTCATGGGTCTAATTAAATTGGATTTTCTTGAAAATTACAGAGAACAATGGGCACATGAAACAGCTTACTACTTTAATGATTAACATGGTCAATTCTGTACCTATGAGAGTGAATAATAATTAATTTTTGCATTTATATTTCTGTGGAAGATGTTCATCAATTCTTTAATCGGTTCATTTCCAAAATCAGATCAATGATAGACCCTACTGAAGGTTTTTTCCTGTCTCTTTTGTTTAGGTAAAGAATAAATGTTTCATCATTCAGAACTTTTGTAATTAGAACCTTCCCTCATCCTAAAAGATAGTTTTATTTTTCAATGCTTTTCAGATGTTCACCAAATAATTTGAAACCATTATCATGCGGAATCACTTTGTAGAAAACCCAATGTCCTTTTGCACCCGGACTTGCCAATTAACACATTGCAAACCAAACACGTTTTCATTTTATGTCTTTATGAAGAATAGTT